ATTCACACCCCCCCTTACTGTTTGTTAGAATTCAGCTGTGCTTTTGCTGATTTTTAGAGAGAAATCATGGCAGGGGGAGGTACTAATGAAATAAATAGTAGCCATCATAGACACTAACTGCTGTAGTTTGTTGCTATTTTTCCTATCCTTATCTAGTTGGAGCACTTCTACAGTGACTTTCTTTCAAAGTCAGACTAAGGCTTTGTCTACACTTGTAAAATTCAAGTGCTGCCTGAGTATTGTTTAAGTAAAAGTGGCCATGGCAGGAGTGCTGAGAGAGGCCTCTCAGTGCTCTATGTAAACCACCTCCATGAGGGGAGTAGCTAACAGGACTGATAGTGTTAACAGGCTAACACTTATAACTTGTGGCATTTGGAGGGAGGTATTTTTCCTTGAACCTGAGTTGCAGGCATTAAAGTGGCAGTGTCGACTTAGCCACACATTCAGACTATGTCTACACTGAGCATTGTTGTGCAATAAGATATGCAAATGAGTAGAGATGAATATCGCCACACCTCCTTTGCATACCTAATGAGCTACCATTTTTGCAGCACGGGCTTTTGCCCAAGAAGCTGTCTACATTGCTCCTTCTTGCACAAAAAAAATCCTCTTGCATAGAGCTGTTCTTCCTGAAAATAAACAGTGGAAAAGCTCTGAGCAAGAGGGGTTATTTTGCGCAAGTAGGAGCAATGTAGACAGCTCCTTCTTGCACAAAGCCTGGGCAGCAAAAATGGTGGCTCATTAGGTATGAAAATGAGGTGTGGTGATATCATCCCTGCACCTTATTTGCATATTTATTGCACAACAGTGCGCAGTGTAGACATAGCCTCAGGGTATATCTACACTGGAGAGCTTTTCTGGAAAAACTAAATTTACATCTACACTGCTACTATAGAAAGAATACAGTAAGTTGAAAGAATGGAGGGGGTTTTCCAACAGCTGTACAACTCTTTCTATGAGGAAGAAGCCTTTTTTGAAAAAAGGCAGATGTGGATGCAGAAGGAGTTTTTTCAAAAGAAGAGGCCTCCAGGAAAAAGCACAGGTGCCCTAGTGGCCACTCTTGTCTGCAGTAATCTCAACTTACATGTGAGATAGCATCCAATCAATGTGGATGTTACCTTTCAAAAAAGCAGATTGTTTTTTCATTGCTCCTTTTTTGAAAGTGTTTTTTGTGGAAGATCTCTTGGGAGTCCTTCAAATATTTATTATTCTTAGTAATGAAATTGACTGCAAGGAGGCTGCATTTATGCAAAATCAGAATGGACATTCTGATTCAGAGACTGTTCTGACTGCTGAGCCAGTGTGTCTCTTTGGTTCAGTTTTCCTTTTATATGTATTTCTTACAGCAGGGGGAATTCTCACTACCTAGACAAGAATTAGAAGCAATGCATATATGACCTTGTCTGTTCAGTAATTTCTGTCTATGAAACCAGAAGGACCTCTTGTCTGTCAATATTTAGTTATGGTCCATGGTTGTGCACTTTCCCAATCAGGTTCTGAATCTTGAGCAGCTGAGCTAGATCTTTGCCACAGAAGCATGTTGTGCTTGAAAGTGAATGCTGTGAGGGAATCAAAGTGTTGCTCTTGGTATTTAATCACAAATTCATGTACTTGAAGCAGATCCACCATCTAGCATTCTGTGCCACTGCCCTGGAGCTCTGGTTAAGATGCCCTGTAGAAAGGGATAGTTGAGTAGTAATCAGAGCTCTCAACTGGATTGTATTACCACCAGAATCTTAGTAAAGACACAGGGAGGGAGGGTGGGCACTAAAATGCAGATGTTTAGAACTAGTAGTGGACCACACACTGCAACCTGCAGTAGGCTACTGTGGAATATCAAATAGGAAAGATTTACAGCATCTAGGACCATGCAGGTCCTCTGCAAGCAGGGATTCTACTCTTAAAACTAGTCAGACTGCAATCTTTATTCTCTTTGAGTCATCCGACCTGCTCTCCACTGGCCAATGAAATGTTAAAAGGCTCTTCTACCTCAGTGTCAGGTGGATCTTTAAGAGCGAGCCAGTTGAGGGTGGCATGACAGCCTCAATCTAACACTTTTTTTGTGGGTAAGAGACCTATCTTCACCTGCCTGCTTTTGTTACCCTTTCAGAGTAGCTTGTCTTTGCTCATATCCTTAATGATGAGCACTGAGGTATTGTGTTGAGCGCAGACTTAGCTGTCATTTAGTAGCATAGCAGACATTCTGTCATGGCTAAGGAAGACTGGAGGAGTTTGGCAGTTAAGGACAGTATTGCTGGTTTTGTGGGTAAGAGACCTATCTTCACCTGCCTGCTTTTGTTACCCTTTCAGAGTAGCTTGTCTTTGCTCATATCCTTAATGATGAGCACTGAGGTATTGTGTTGAGCGCAGACTTAGCTGTCATTTAGTAGCATAGCAGACATTCTGTCATGGCTAAGGAAGACTGGAGGAGTTTGGCAGTTAAGGACAGTATTGCTGGTTCAAGGTGATTGAAGCTTTCCTTTCCCTTCCCCCTGCTTTTTTTTGCAAGAGGCAAAAAAAAAAAAAGCTGCTAAAGAATAGGTAGTAGTGGAGGTAAGTGCATGATATAGCTTTAAACTACCTCATGAGTTCATGGTCAGGGCTCACCAAACCACAGTGAGCCACACTGTCCAGCAATCTGCGCATGCACAGATCACCCGAATCCAGCTCTTCCAGGTTACAATCTACTCACCCGTGGCAAGTAGATGGTGGAGCCCCGTTCATGGTCATAATCAGGGCTTGACGAGCAGCAGCAAAAGCTACTCGCCAGCCCCATACAGGCATTCCCCGGGATTACATACAAGCTAGGGACTGTAGGTTTGTTCTTAAGTTGAATTTGTACATAAGTCAGAACTGGCATCCAGATTCAGCCGCTGCTGAAACTGACCAGCTGCTGACTACAGGAAGCCCAAGGCAGAGTTTCTCTGCCCCTGGCTTCCTGGAATCAGCAGCTGATCAGTTTCAACAGCAGCTGAATCTGGACGCCTGGCACAGAGCAGCTGGGGCGCTGCCAGGTAGGTCCCCGCAGTGCGGCACCTCAGCGCTGCGGGGACTAACCTGGCAGCACACCAACTGTTCTACCACAGGTGTCCCCAAGTCAGCTGCTGCTGAAACTGATCAGCGGCTGATTCCAGGAAGCCCAGGGCAGAGCAACTCTGCCTTGGGCTTCCTGTAGTCAGCTGCTGGTCAGTTTCAGCAGCGGCTGAATCTGGACGCCAGTTCCGACTTAACATACAAATTCAACTTAAGAACAAACCTACAGTCCCTATCTTGTACGTAACCCGGGGACTGCCTGTTTTCTGTTTTGATTAGTCTTAATTTGCGCAGTCTCATTTTTTCATCTTCCCAAAACTTTAATATTTGCTTATTCAGCAGACTTTGTACTTGGTTGTTAGCAATTTTAAAAATGGAAGGACATTCCCCATATTCTTGAGTTTAGGTAAGTACATTATTTCCATATTCCCCAACACAGCTGTCCTATAATTAAGATTTATGGGCACAGCTGCCACCTCTGTGGGTGCGGCAGGGGGGGCGGCCCCCCGGGGGGGGGGGGGGGGGGGGGGGCAGCAGACCAGGGAGATGCGGAGCAAAGCCGCGGAGGATGCGGGTGGCGGGACCGCGGCGCATCTCAGCAGTCCCGCCGCCCGCATCTCCCTGGTCTGCTGGGAAGGGGGGGGCACAGCTAGTGCTGCTGGCCAGGGAGACACGGAGTAGCTTTTCTCGCTGTGGAGGACGCGCGCGTCTGGGCGGTCCTGCCAACGTAAGTACGGGTCCATGTAACCTGGGGACTGCCTGTACTGTGCATGCGCCAGACCCACATTGCGCATGTGCACCCCGCAAACATATGGGGCACCCAGCTGAAATCTACTCTCCTGTGGCATAAAGCAATTCACAATCAGTACACAAAGCAGTTATTTAAAAGGAGGGAAAGGAAATGCTGACAAAGAAGTAGCAGTAAAAGGGAAGGGGAATCAGTTATGTGAAAGATCATTTTGTAAACTTGGGTTGCAGTTAAGAGTTGAGAACTGTGAAGTTTCACCCATGTTTAACATTAGGGATGTGAATGGTTAACCCAGGGGTTCTCAAACTCTGATACCACAACCCCCCTCTTAAGTTTCTCATGATGCCCCCAGGGGGTCAGGAAACACAGGGTTAACTAGTAAACATAAGCCTTACTGGGTGGTGTTTACTGGTTGCAGTTAAGGAGCAGCGTTAGAGTAGGCCCCTGGCCTCCTCACCCCCTTGTTTAACTGGTAAAACAGGATCTTATAGCCCAAGTTTACATTGCTTGATATTAACTGTTCTCTACTACTCTTAAAGCCAAGCAGCAATGACACTTTCTTGCTGAAAGCTAGTGTAACTTGCATTTGAAAGTGCAATAGTGGGTGCCATTAAGTAGCTTACCCTGACCTGGTATGGAGTAGTCAGTAAACCAAGGCAGATAGCTAATTTCACTGCAGCACAGTAACAAGTGATAACTTTTAAAAATATCTACCATGAACAAAGTTTCTTGTTCCCTTAGTTAAGGAGCCAAACCAGGAATGAAGACAGATTGAATGTAGGACAATTTGGGGGAGTAATAATGTAGCCTACACACTTTGACTAGCCTTTTAAATATATTTATAGATTTGTTCCCTTTCTGCTTTAATTTATATAAACAAATCTGGTTTTATTAAAAATTTAAGGTCTATCTATATCACTTTTCTTTACAAGTCACAAGCTTGAGGAAATACAGGAAATTGTAGGCACTGTTACTCTTAAAAGACTTTAACAATGTCTATTAAAAGCAGCATGAAAGATTCTTCCTCTCCTCTCTCTCAGTTCAATGCCGCCATCTTAACATCTAGGCTGTGTCTATACTGGGCCACTTATTCCGGCAAAGCAGCTGCTTTTCCGGAATAAGCTGCGAGCTGTCTCCACTGGCCGGTTGCTTTTCTGGAAAAGCAATGACTATCTACTGTAAAATTGTCAGTGTTTTTCTGGAAAAACTATGCTGCTCCCGTTTGGGCAAAAGTCCTTTTCCGGAAAAACTGTTCCAGAAATGGGCCAGTGTAGACAGCACAGTAGTCTTTTCCGGAAAAGCATCCTGCCAATGTAGGTGCGCTTTTCTGGAAATACTTAACGGAAAAACTGTTCTGTTTTAAGCATTTCCGGAAAAGGGTGCCAGTGTAGATGTAGCTGAAGTGTCAGTCTGCCTGCCTAAAGTAATGGTTCTCAAAACTGCAGCCAACTCAGCACAGAGCTGTGGCCAGTGTGATACAAGGACCATATAAAAAGATTAAAAAGACTTGAACTTTTCAGCTTAGAAAAGAGGAGACTAAGGAGGGATATGAGAGAGGTCTAAAATCATAACTGGTGTGGAAACAGTGAATAAGGAAGAGTTATTTATTTGTTCCCATAATTAAGAACTAGCCCTCACCCAAATGAAATTAAATTAAAAACAAAATTTTTCTTCATGCAGCACACAGTCAACTAGTGGAATTCCTTGCCAAGGGATGTTGCAAAGACTAGGACTTTTTGAACCCTGTTAAAAAGAGCTAGATAAATTCATGGAGATTAGGTCCATCAATGGCTATTAACCAGGACTGGTAGGAAGGTATCCCTAGCCTCTGTTTGTCTGGAAATGGATGACAGGAGAGGGATCACATAATTATTACCTGTTGTGTTCACTGCCTCTGGGCATCTGGCATTGGCCACTAGGCTGGATGGACCATTGGTCTGACCCAGTATGGCCATTCTTATGACATCCTCAGGGCCATAGAGCTAGTATTGGAGGAGACCCACATACTACAATAGTAAACGAGTTGAGAAGCAATGGCCTAGTTTTGTCTCTAGAAAGAAGCCAAACAAGTCAGCTACTAATACATACACTTAAAGAATAATTAAAAGTCCAGAAGACAAGATATTCAAAAGCCAACATCACTCCTGAATAACTCAGTTTCAGTGAGGGATTTTTGCTCAACTTCAGAAGTCTAATTTAACTCTGAAGTGATTGCTACGAACACCTAATTTCACTTCAGTTCTGGAAGCAGTACAGTAGAGTTGTACAGTACTGATACAGCTGAAGAATGGCACAAGACACTAGATTACACCTTTTTTATTTCAAAAGCTAGGATAGCTTCAATATCCATGTCATGGTGAATCAGAACACATGTAAAATACCTTACAATACATTAGATTCCAAAAAGGTACCAAAAAGTACAGTAAAATTAACACTTCCAGTACAGGAAATGTATGACACAAAAACAATACAAAATAAAAAGGTGGAAAGTGACACTGGTTCCCTAAGATACATCTCATTCTGTACAACTGGAGTAATGCAGAGTCCATATAGTAAACTCCAAGAGGCAGTCCCTAGTTGCAGAGCTGCAGCTTTAAGCAGACCCTCAAAATCAGTTTCAGTTTAACCTATTAATAAAATCATTAATTAATATCTTCAGCAAAGCTGAAATTTACACACCACACTGTCTAGACAACTAGTTATCTGTAAATATTAAACATGTAAGACATTTCCAGGGAGCTCTTGAGTAAGATGCACATTTAACAGGCCATAGAAATTTATTGTAAAGTTAAATTTGGTACATAATTGTAATATCCATCTACAGCATTGAGTACAAAACCTATGCAGTCATTTTCTAAAAGAGACCATGCCACTGCATACCTGAATAAATTTGATCAATATGGCTTGTAATTATTCTGATGACCACCACGTCTTGGACTTTTCCCATAATTTGCACTGCCTTGACCTATGAATAAGAAATTAAATGCATTAAACTGTTATTTAATTGTGGTGTTTATACCCAACACATTTCTCTACTTACTGTAATCATAGCCTGGTCCATATTCATAATACCCATATCCTGAATAATCATAGCCTCCATAGCCACCATAACCTTGCTGATAGCCGTATCCTTGATTCCCATAACCCTGGGTCCAGTAATTGCCATAACCTTGATTCCAAATTTGACTTTGAGCTACAGAAAGGAAAACCATCCACAAAATCCCATTTTAGTACAAGCTGCTTCGTTCTGAATGTGTCCATACTTAAGTAGTGTGTAATACTTACCTCTTCCACCTCTGCCTCTTCCTCCAAAGCTGCCTCTTCCTCCACCACTACTGAATTGTTGCTGCTGATATACTTCCTTCGGCTGTGCCACCTTGATCTCACACTGAAAAGCAAGAGAGCAATGTGCTTGAGTACAACACTGCCCTTATAACTGAACATGTAAATTAGAGGTGAGCTGTGATTTTACTGGTCTACCACATTGGCTCATCCTTTCCAGACTACTGTACCCCTTTCAGTAGCCTGTCTTGAGTTCCACAAGTTTCACCTCAACTAAAAAAAAGCCACTTGCAATTTTTCAATAGTGTGTTTTTGTATTTATTTGGTTCAATGAGAAAGTAAGCCAATACAAGAAGTTGGTACTCCTTTAGAGATGTGGATGAATGGTGGTTGTGGATATTCTACTCGTGTTTAGGTCCTGCAAAGTCACCAGGGAGTGCTAGTAAAGGGAAGGGCATAATCAAATTCATTTGTGTAGAAATCACAGTAAGTAGTATTTAAAACCAACAGGGGACTTGCACAAGTGTAGCAGCTGTACTTCTTTTCTGAGGTTAATAGTCTTACAAAAATTATTGCAGT